CAGGAGGAGGCCCCTAATCTAAATTCCTTTAGGCAGTTTTGGGGGGAAGGTCAAAATTTCTTCCAGAATCCTCTGGGCCTTGATTGTTTTTAGCTCAGCTAGTCGGCCTTGGCCCCTATGACACAAAAGGGCAGTGTCCAAAGTCAATCTCCCTTGGACCTCTGTTCCCAAGTGTCCCAGGTTCCTTTCCTAGAGATAACCTGATTAACAGCTTTTCAGATAGCTCTCCCAAGGAATTATCTCACTTTTGTTTAAAAGAAAGGCAGGAAGGAAGAAAAGAAGGAAGGAAGGAGGGACAGAGGGAAGATTCAATAATAAAAATTCAGCAGAGTAAATGTAAAGATCAAATTGGCTTTATCTAGTGATTCACAAATTGGGCAGCATCCCGTCTAGCAAATGGTAAGGAGCTGCCAAAAACAAAAGGTTTCTCAAGATGGGGGTGGGTAGGGTAATATTATTGGCAAAGAATCCATTGTTTTTTGTGTTTGTTTTTTTTTTAAGATTTTATTTATTTATTTGAGACAGAGAGAATGAGAGAGACAGAGAGCACATGAGAGGGGGGAGGGTCAGAGGGAGAAGCAGACTCCCTGCCGAGCAGGGAGCCCGATGCGGGACTCGATCCAGGGACTCCAGGATCATGACCTGAGCCGAAGGCAGTCGCTTAACCAACTGAGCCACCCAGGCGCCCCAAGAATCCATTGTTTTAAGCAAGGCAGCCCTCGTAACGGGAATGGAAGGGTCCATCAGCTCCTAATGCTGACCAGAAAAATTCCAGGCTGTCTGGTTAAAGATCACATTTCTGGGAGAAGCTGGGAAGCTGCAGTTAGATTAGGTACCAAGTTTTGGTGGGGTTTAGCATAAGTGACTCAATTTTTAAGAGAAGGAAGGAACGAAGGGAGAGAGGGAGGGGAAAACCCCATATAAACGAATATTTGAGCAGGAAGAAAATGCAAGGAAGGATGCACACATGCACACCAAGCTCTTACCCCTGATTACCCTATAGCACGTGCAGGGGGACTTAACTCTCTTTAATACACTTCTGTACCGTTTGTGTTGGTGTATGACAGGTATTTACTACTTTTGTAATTCGCAAAATTTCATAAGGCTAAAGAATAAAAGACAAATTAAAAAAGCAGGAATCAACCAACGTTGGTATAATTATAACAAGATAAACTATAATCTGAGGAACATCAGCAAGTCGAACTAAGCTAATGTATTGTTAAAAAAAGAAGAAAAGAAAAACAAGTGCGAATTGGAGTCACCCCCCCCCATGACAGCAAGCCAAAATTTAATTACAGTTTCCACCTCTCCCAGGAATGTGACTTTTTTAACAATCTGAAACATCCTGATCAGCACTAGTAATGTCATCTGCGTGATAATCTGTGTGATAAACAATCTACCATTCCCTTCCCCCCTAAAAGAAGATGACCTAGCCTAAACTGATCCTCTCTTTTCTTTTGCTAATGACTTCTTGCCCCACCACCCTCCTGCCCAGAACGACCTTCTACTTCGCACAGTTCCTCTGAGCATCTGTACTTGCCACAGGGAATCTACTCAATCACTTAAGAGAGGCGCCTGGGTGGCTCAGTCGGTTCAGGTCATGATCCCGGGGTCCTGGGATCGAGCCCCGAATTGGACTCCCTGCTCAGTAGGGAGTCTGCTTCTTCCTCTGCCCCTCCCCCTGCTGGTGCATGCTCTCTCTCTCTCAAATAAATAAATAAAATGTTTTTTAAAAATCACTTAAGAATCACTTAAGAAAGAAGAATCACTTCAGGGGCACCTGGGTGGCTCAGTGGGTTAAGTGCCCAGCTCTTGCCTTCGGCTCAGGTCATGATCTCAGGGTCTCAGAATCATGGAGCCTGCTTAAGATTCTCTCTCTCCCTCTGCAGTGCACGTTCTCGTGCACATTCTCTCTCTCTTAAAAAAAAAAAAGTAAAGAAAGAAAGCCAATTAGATCTTCAAGATTATTTGGTTGAATTTTTTTTAACAGTACAGTGGAGAAAGGATATCACTTAGAAGAGAAAGTGAAAAGGACAGTAGTTGAATTTAAAACTGTCCGCATGTCCCAAGGCCTGACCAGGGTGACAGGAGACTGCCTTCGATCCCTTCTCATTCTGCTCAATTACTACTTCTCAGTTTGTTTGTTTGTTGTTTGTTTTACTAACTGCCTCCTTTAAAAATTTTTATTTTAAAGTAATCTCTACACTCAACATGGGGCTCAAACTTACAACCCCCGAGATCAGGAGTTGCGTGCTATACCAAGTGGGTGCCCTCTGCATCCTTTTTTTAAAGTAATCATACATTTATTTTTTTAAAGATTTTATTTATTTATTTGAGAGAGAGAGAGCATGAGTGGCGGCCGGAGGGAGAGGGAGAAACAGGCTCCCCGCTGAGCAGGGAGCCCGATGCGGGGCTCCATCCCAGGACCCCGGGATCATGACCTGAGCCGAAGGCAGATGCTTAGCTGACTGAGCCACCCAGGCGCCCCTCATACATTTATTTTTTAACAGAGTACCCCAGTTTCACATCATGTGCCTTTTCCAAAGTTGTGGGTCCTTAACCTGCTGTGCTTCTTCAGTGACTTTCCACCAGGTGTGCAAAAGAAGCAGTAAGGTTAGCCTGAGTCTCCAAGGCACTGTCCAAATACGGGACATACTCAGGAATTGATTTATGTTTAAGATCAATATACATAATGTTCCTCATGGTTAGCAAATGAATGAAGCTCTGGCTGAGAATAGGAACACACCCCATTCTGTCAGCACCCTGTCATGAAAAGACAGGAGGCAACAAACATACACTTTGTGGTTACTCATTTTACTGTTGAACCTGTAGTGAAACAAATATATACATTTTTACTTTCGAGGTTAAAATAAACCATCAGCTCCTGATTTCTCCTGGCCCACAGCTATGAAAAGTAAAAACGGTTCTTCTTGCCTCCGGCTCACCTGAACAATCTTATTCGTGCAGGACAAAAAGAATGGCAGTGCTAAGAAAAAGCACGTCCCCAGGATGGGTGCAGTTGACCCCCTCACACAAGATGCCTCCCAACAAAACGAAAACAACTGGCTCGAGCCAATCTCCATACAATGGGGTTACTGCATCAACTGTTCCATTCTCAGGGCGGAAGGAGCTTTAGGACGAAGTGCTACCTGAAGGTCTCCTTACTGTTGTCCCCAAGTTCCACTTCAAGTCCACAGTCTCTTCAAGTCCACAGCCTCTTCAAGTCCACAGCCATAAGCCTCCTTTCTCCAACCTCCCTCAGCTGTGAGGTCACAAAGTATGAAAAGTAAGTGGTCTCCAATCATTGAGAGCAGAGCAAGTTTTCCACAAGCAGAATGAGTCCTCTGACTCTAGGCCCTGTGATGCCTTTTAGAAAAGGTTCCTTATCGTCCTGTGTGTTAGTAAATTGTAGGAAATAACGAGATAAGCCTCAACGCCGCTGCGCACCCGGGGTGTCTTACCCTCACAGACTGCCGACTGCCCCTTTCCTCTGCACTGTTATTATCAATGTGGCTTTTCAAAAAGAGAGACAGGGAGAAACTTGGAATTCTTTTTAACAACAAAATTCTTCTTGGATTCTGGCCAAATCGCTCTTAGCCCTTCTTTGCCTCCATTGTCCTCTTCAGCCAACAGAGCCACTGAAAATGTCCCTGCTTGAGTTACACTCTGCAGTCACAGGGGACGCGTCGTGTAGCCGTTGGTTGGCAAAAAATCGACCTAGATTTGAATCCTGACTGCCTCTTGCAGCTGTGACCTAGGGTAAGTCAAGCTCTCTGTCTTGGTTTCCTTTTCTGCCAAACAATATCTAATCATAGCTAACACACACATAGTGCTGGAGGGACCAAGGGCCGGCTGCCCCAAGATGGGCCACGACAGCATGTGGACCATTTTGAGCTGAGGCAATCCAGACCACATGAGCTCAAGAGAAACTTTTGCCCCTCCCTTAACTACACAAAAGAATCTAAATTGGGGGGGGGGGGTCTTGTCCAGAATAAGGGTTATTACAAGAGATAAATTTTATCTGAGTGACACATCTGTCTGGCAGGGCAAACATCTCACTGCCAGACATCTGCTCTTCTTTTTATTGTCCCATGAAGTGCATTCCTCTGTGAAGTCCCAGATCCGGACCCACCTCTCCTTAGTTCGGGATGATACTTTGTTTTGCCTGACTGTCTTTGGAATGTCCGAGTCTGCGTGGATTCCCCATGTGTATACAATTAAATTTGATTCTCCCCTGTTAATCTGTCTGCTGTCAATTTGACTCTGAATCAATCTAGAAGGCCCTGGAAGGGGACCGGAAATTCTTGCTGGGGCTGACCTGCGTCATTGTTCCTTTAATCCTCACAACAGCCCCTAGAGCAAGAAACTGGAGATGAAGCAACTGAGGCACAGAGAGAGTTGGGAGTGACTCCCCACCCCCCCAGGTCACACAGCTGGTAAGCTGCCGAGCCAAGATGCCAAGGCAGGTTCCAGAGTCCAGACCGCGGCTACAGCCTCTCCAGATGAGGGCAGTAAATGCGGACGTGCCTATTAAGGGCGCTCTTGGGGTTTAAATGAGATCGTGCACGGGAAGCCCAAGGCTTGACAAGTGTGATAGGGAGCCGCTGCGTGCGAGAGGGTTCTTTTCCCCTTCTGCGCGGCGCAGTTGGCGCGGCTGCTTCCTGGGGCAGAAAATAAGAGGTCGGAGGGAGGAGAGCCCGGGCCAGGGGTGGAAGGTGGAAAGGGAGAATGGCGGCGGGGGGGGGGGGGGGTAAACAAGAGAGAGGCGGGGGTGGGGGGGCAGCGCGGAAGACTTGGGAAGCCAGAAGAGGAGGAGGCGGCGGCGCCCGGAGCGCGCGGCGACTCTCCGGGGCAGACAGAACCCGGCCGGCTGAGGAGCAACAGCCGGTGGGCGAGGCCTCCGCCCCGGGGCGGCCTCCCCGGCCCCGGCCCCGGCCCCGGCGCGCGCCCGCCAGCACCCGGCTTCCAGGTCCGGCCGCGGCCCGCCCCCACGCCGGGCGGGGCCCCCGATCCGCGCGCCGCGCCGGGGAGTCGGCCGGGAGCCCGCCGGGCGCCGCAGCCCCGAGCCCCGCCGTCCCTCCCCCCACGCCGGGCCGGGGCGCGATGGCGACGTGGCGGCGGGACGGCCGGCTGACGGGCGGCCAGCGGCTGCTGTGCGCGGGCGCGGCGGGGGCGCTCAGCCTCAGCCTCACCGCGCCGCTCGAGCTCGCCACCGTGCTGGCCCAGGTCGGCGGGGCCCGGGGGCCGTGGGCCGCGGGGCTCCGGGCGTGGCGCGCCGAGGGGCCGCGGGCCCTGTGGAAGGGGAACGGGGTGGCGTGCCTGCGCCTCTTCCCCTGCAGCGCCGTGCAGCTCGCCGCCTACCGCAAGTAAGAGCCGGGCGCGGCGCGGCGGGCCCGGGAGCCGGAGCCGGGAGGCCGCCGCGGGGCGCCGCCGCCGGGGCGGGGAGGGGGGAAGGGAGCCCGACGCCGCCCTGCTTCCCGGGCTCGGCCTCGGGGAGGGGGGAGCCCCCGCGGGGGGCCGCGGCCTCCTTCCGGATCGCGCGCGCGAGCCCCTCGGCGGGGGAGGGGGGCGGTCTGGCGGGGAGGCGGCACCTGCGCAGGTTCCGGGGTGCACTTCGGGGCTCCCCGCCCCGCCAGATGCCGTTTTGTGGGGCGCAGCCCGCGGCTCCGAGAGGCTCCCCAGAGTTGGACGGGCGAGGAGGTGGAATGGGGCAAAAGGAGATTCGGGCCGGGGCCGGGGCCGGGGCGGGGGGGAAGGAGTCAAGGCCTCTCCAGAGAGATGGCTTCCTGACCATTCCCACCGTCCACTAACTTGGAAGTTTTTGCCTTGGCTGGCGTAGGGGAGAGAGACCCTTCGGAAGGTGTGTGTATGCAGTTGTGCCTTTGTGAGCGAAGCCCACGGAAGAAAGTGCTTGGTAGGGGGAGAGGGCCCAACCCAAGGACACAAAAGGCCACAGATTTCTGCCCACCCCCCCGACCAATGGCGCTTTGCCTTTAGGGCCCAACAGAAGCTGCAAACAGGCCCCTCAGGTTACTGCCTCAGGCCACCCTCTGCGCACTGGCCTCCTTCTTTGTGCTTTTTTCACCTTCTCCCAACAACAGCTGTCTCTCGGAAACCCTCTAAATATGCAAATGCCAGATGAGTCTTCAGAGGTTCCTCAGAGCTCAGAGATCTTTGCATTTTAACTGAAAACACGCCGAGAAGAATGAAATGGTACTGATGGAGCTTCAGGGAGAGGGGGTGTTTCTGGACTTGGGGGGAGGGTCCCTGTGCGCCTCGTTCTGTGGGCACAGTGCCACCTCCGAGGACTGGCCTTGGCTCTGAATTAGACCACTCACAGTCTTCACCACCCAGCTGAAGCCTTGGAGGCTACCAGGCAGGATTCTCAGCTTTGCTGCTGGCGAGCCGGGTGGAATCCTCCTCCTCACTGAGCCCTCTGGGCCAGCGCGAATTTCACCGAGGCTTGGGGAGGAAAGGTCCTGAGATCCTGGGGCATTTCTGTCAACGCTCTCTTTCCCCCTCAGCAACACCTGGCCTGATGTCTGTAAACAGTTCTCCCCACGTCCCTCTCTTCTCCCCAAAGTGGTATGGAAATCTTCCTTTGGAATGTATGCCAAGGATTAGGAGGCAGACCTTTACGAGCGGGTTTAAATATTGTGGCTGTCCTGGTCATCACCGGCTGAATGGAAGACCTTTTCCTCTGTCCAAGGTTCTTCCAGCCGGACTAAGAATTAAATGGACGTGAGACAGATTCACGGGAGAAAATCAAACTTAATTTCCTCCTTGCGGGGAATCCACACACACGTGAGGTTTCCAAGACAGGCAAAATGAGGTATAGATGTCCTTCTGAACTGAGGAGGAGGAGGTAGGGGTCTGAGACTTCGAAGGAAGGAATGCAAGTCACACCAGAATGAAAGAGAGCAAATGTTTGGTAAACAAGTGTTTGCTGGGCCACTCAGAAACTAGGGGACGTAGAGAGGAATTTTAACCGACTTTGCTAACTTCCTCCCTGTCTATCACCCCTAGTTATTGTGTTATTTAGGGTGATCGCTTTCTTCCTGGAGCAGGTCCTCTAAATGCTTTTCAGGCAGTTGAGGGGGGAGGTCAGAGTTTCTGCCTGAGTCTTGGGCCTTGATTGTTTTCAGCTCAAGATAATCTCCATGCTATTGTTGCCCATCATGGGGAGGCCTGCCCTTGGCCCCGACACCCCCCAGTATATGTACATCATTGCATTTTGTTAACAGCCCTATTGAGATATCTTCAACATATAAAAAATATATATTTAAGGTGCACAACTTGATGTTTTGATGTGCATATACATGATGAAATGATCACCACAGTCAAGCTAATCAATATAGCCATCACCTCCACCTAGTTACCTTTGAGTGTGTGTGTGTGTACATCATTGGATTTCTACAACTCCTGCCTCCTGCCCTGTAAGGTCCATCGGGTGGGAAGTATCATGCCCATTTTACAGGTACAGAATTGGGCTCAGACTGGCCGCACCACTCCTCAGTGATAGAGCTGAGAGCCCCATCACCTGACCTTCTGCCTCCAAATCCATTACTCTACTACATCATGCTGCCTTTCTCTCTGCATTCATTTGACATTAATATAACCAGGCCTCTTTAAGTACCCACTGTGTGCATGATGCTGGGGACAATGCAGGGGTGAAAGGGGCGTGGTCCCGGTGCCCCAGGGCTTACAGAGGAATAGAAGAACAGAAAAAGATTATTGTGTCTCTAGCATCTGGCTGAGTGCTACAGAAACTCACACTTCTGGGGCACCTGGCTGGCTCAGTCGGTACAACATGCAACTCATGATCTCGGGGTTGTGAGTTCGAGCCCCACATTGGGTGTAGAGATGACTTAAAAATGAAATCTTTAAAAGAAAACAAATTCACACTTCTGATGAGGAGGAAGAGATGTGAGGACCTCACAGAGGAGAAAAACCACCTGAGTTTGGTCTGGGGAGAATGAGTAGGAGTTTGCAGGGCACAGATGGAGAGAAAGATAGAAAGATTGCAAGTAACGTCATGAGCCAAGGCACAGAGGTGGGCAGGCATGCAGCACGACTGGAACACGGAGTGTCTCTACAGCAGTAATGGGAAGTACAGCCAGAAAAGCAGGTTGAAATTTGATCTCAGAGGGCCGGGTTAAGGACTTCGTTCAGTATGGCCAAGGTTAGCTGTGGGAGATTTTTGAGGAGGTGGTGATGGGGGGGGGGTGATGATTAAAGCAGCTCAACAGGAATTACCATCACCTGGTGGCAGGGTACGATGACTAGAGAGGAGGGAGACCGGGGGTGGCTGGGCCAGTCAGGAACCTGTTGCACTCATCCATGTGGCAGCTGAGGGCACCTGACATAGGCTGGTGGCTAGTGACTGCGAGAGGAAGAAAGAAAGCGTTCCCCAGCCTAAGTTTGCTAATAATGTTTCCTGCAAGATTGTTTTCCTTCTGGAAACTAAAAGGGAGTATTTCAGTGAAGGGCTAAACATAGAAAGCAAAGTGGTTGATTAATCATGGTGCCATCCTTCCTACATAGAGATGGTACCTTTGGTCCGTCGGTATGCTGACTCATCTCTTTCCTGGCCGTGAGTTTGCAAAAACAGTCGGCTGAGGGTAATGGTATATAGCCTAGGAGCAGGGGTTTGAACAAAGCGTAAACATCTAGAACGTTCAGGAAATGGAGTGATTAATTGACTTGTCCCCAAAGAGAATTAATGGCGAGCTGGAGCTTGAAACCGGGTCTTCTGGCTCCTCAGTTCACAGCTCTGCCCAGCATTGTGCTGCTGATGTATCTGCTCCCTTGGATTTCTGATCAAAAGTCCACTCAGTAGAGTCTATTAGGAGCTAGGCCTTGGCAATAAATAGCACGTAACACAGTAGCTGGCTGTCAGATACGTCAACCAGTAGATCCTCCAACTTTACGACTGCTTGTCGAGCTGTATAAACATTGGTTTGGGTCCCTGCTGCTCTGGAACAGTTCGTGACCAGCACCACTTTCTTACTGTATGACCACTTCGTGAGCTCGTGTTTGGCTGCGTTGGCGGTTCTAACTACATATACCCGGGGGGGGGGGGGGGGTGATAGCCCATGGCTGAAAGGAAGGGGTTACTGCTACTCAACAGCTTAGCCAGTCTCTCTGGGGAAAGCGTCTGTGCACGTGCGGGGTGGGGCGGGGAGGAGAGCAGAAAGGGGGACGCTGTGGCCCCAGCCAATCAGACAAGACCTGAAGCCACGGGGGCGGGGGCGGGGAGGGGCAGGATGATGTCATTGATGGCCTATCAGGGCTGCCTGCCTTGACTGCAATTCCCAGAGGAAGGGTTGGTGGTCCTTGTCTCTATCGGATGGTGAGAGTCTGAGAAGAAAGGACTTGCTTTGGTTCTTTTGAATTTTGTCTATTTGATAGTAAGACCCTACTTTATAAATCAACCTGACCTAAGACAGGGTTCCTATTCCTAGTCTCCTAGTCCATCAAGTCGTTCAGCAAACTAGGCCTATTTCCTCCCCCGTTGCCCTTCGGCGCTACAGCTTTGGCAGGACTATTGAGCTCTGTTAGGACCTCTGCTGAGCGCTAGCACAGGGGCGCATGGTAGATGTTCGATGAATGGGTCATGAGTTACTTCATGCCCGGGAAGTGGCCAAGTGGGATAGGGAATAGAGCAAGGCGATGAGAAGGAACGGGGTTTCTTATGGTATTTCAAACTCTCACCGTCGTCCAGATTGTTCCAGCTGGCGGCAGACCACCCCTCCAGTCAAGCATGTCCATTTCCTCTGTCTCCCCTGCCCCTCAGCTTCCCCCTCCAACTCGACGGGCCAGCGGAGAGGAAAGGGAGGAGCAAGGAAGTGTGGAGGCAGTGAGGCCAATGGCCCATTGACGAATGCCAGCTTCAGTGACTTGTGTCTTTCAAAAGTAGCTGGTTAAATCATGACTGGGTTTTGGGGTTTTTTTTAAAGATTTTTTAAAAAATTTATTTGACAGGAGAGACACAGCGAGAGAGGGAACACAAGCAGGGGGAGTGGGAGAGGGAGAAGCAGGCTCTCCGCTGAGCAGGGAGCCCTATGCAGGGCTGGATCCCAGGACCCTGGGATCATGACCTGAGCCGAAGGCAGATGCTTAACGACTGAGCCACCCAGGCGCCCCTGGGTTTTTTTTTTTTTTTTTTTTTATGACTGTTCCGATTAGTGCAGTTAACAGTAGTCAACAGTAGGCGCCCCTTGAGAGAGATGCTTTTAATCAATGAGTGTTTACTTGGGAGCAAAGGAACCATCCTAGGACTCCTTAAATGATTTCACCTGAATACCCACTTGTCTTATTTATCACACAGAGGGCCCTGGCTTGCTGCCAGGATGAAGGAACAGGACACACGCCTCTTTATGGGAGATTTGAAAGCCAAAGAACTGGGGATGGTCTCATTTTTTAAAAGATACAGGGCACCTGGGTGGCTCAGTCAGTTAAGCGTCTGCCTTCGGCTCGGGTCATGATCCCAGGGTCGTGGGATCAAGCCCCACGTCGGGCTCCCTGCTCAGCGGGGAGTCTGTTTCTCCCTCTGCCTTTCCCTCAACTTGGGCACGTGTGCAGTCTCTCCCTCTCTCAAATAAATAAATAAAATATGTAAAAAAGATACAATACTTTTTTTTTTTAGCCTAGCCCTGTTCACTTTCCTTTTTTTTCAAACCCCTGCTATTCCTTTCCCTCTCCCCTACCTTATTCTCTGGTAGAAGATACTATTTTTCCTGGTTTCTAAGCCCTTCTTGATTTTGTCCTCATCAGCAAGGAGTAAAATTCCTTTGCTTCCTGGGCAGGGAATGTGTACCGTGAAAAGTGCCCTTAGAACAATGTCTGCCAAGGTAGGTCCTCATGACTGGGGCTATAACGGCGGCTTTCTGGCTTGCGTTTGGAGAAGTCCACCCAAAGCCATCTTTGACCACATTATAAAACTGTAGAGAAACACAAAGAAGAGTGCCCATGTACCCACCATCCAGAAGTAACAGCATGAAAGACGGCATAAGACATACTTCCAGGATCTTTTTTTAATACAAGAAATAAAAGATTCCAGAGAAAGCTGAAGTCCCGTTCTTTCTCATTCCCAGCCCCTCCCCCCCCGCCCCCGCCACCTTCCTGGAGGGCTATATTACACTTTTTTATTTTTTTAAGGTTTTTTTTTTTTTTAAGATTTTATTTATTTATTTGAGAGAGAGAGCACAAAAGCGGGGTGAGAGGCAGAGGGAGAAGCAGACTCCCCGCTGAGCAGGGAGCCGGACGCGAGACTCGATCCCAGGACCCTGAGATCATGCCCTGAGCCGAAGGTAGATGCTTAACCAACTGAGCCACCCAGGCACCCCTATTTTACACTTTTTTAAATATGTAGCTATATCTATCCATGAATAATATAAGGTAGTCGGAATTCATGGATTCTATCCATGAATAATATAAGGTAGTCAGAATTCATGGATTTAATCCATGTAGAGCCAATTAGCTTCATTCTATTCCATAGCCACTTTTATGAGTGTGTTTCTTTTTTTTTTTTTTTTTAAGATTTTATTTATTTATCTATCAGAGAGCAAGCGAGAGAGAAACAGCATGAGAGGGGGGAAGGTCAGAGGGAGAAACAGGCTCCCCGCTGAGCCGGGAGCCCGACGCGGGGCTCGATCCCAGGACTCTGGGATCATGACCCGAGCCGAAGGCAGTCGCTCAACCGACTGAGCCACCCAGGCGCCCCTATGAGTGTGTTTCTTAATTTAAATAGATGGTTGTCCTATACTGTAGGTCACCCTGCAACTTGCTTTTTTCACTCAACTTTATGCTTTTATGATTATCCCTATGAATACATAGTCGCAAGCTCATTGTAACTGTAGTAGCCATTGTACGACTACTACAATTTATCCATTCCCCTGCAAATGGACTTTTAGGTTGTCCAACTTTTCACACTAACACGCAATGTTGTGTGTCTTCACATGTCCGTGTGCAAGAGCTTCTGTAGGATATGCACCTAGAAATGGAATCGCTGGGGTGAAAGGAGGCGTTCCTTCAGTCGTCCTGGGTGCTACAAAGGGGCTGGACCAGTACATTTCTACCAGCGGGGGGGGCATCCCTGTCTCCACGTGTCCTCCCCATCACTTGACACTATCAGACTTTTTCATCTTTGCCAATCTGCTGGGTGAGAAATGGTATCTTGTTTTTATCTGTCATTTCCCAGACAACTAGTAGGGTGGCACATCTTCCCTTATAACTGTTAAGCCAATACTTTTCTTTAAGATGTAATGTATTGAGGGGCGCCTGGGTGGCTCAGATGGTTAAGCGTCTGCCTTCGGCTCAGGTCATGATCCCAGGGTCCTGGGATTGAGTCCCACATCGGGCTCTCTGCTCCTTGGGAGCCTGCTTCTCCCTCTGCCTCTCTCTCTCTCGGTCTCTCATGAATAAATAAATAAAATCTTTAAAAAAAAAAAAAGATTTAATGTATTGAGAGAGAGAGAAAGAGCACAAGCAGGGGGGAGGGGCAGAGCGAGATGGAGAGGGAGACTCCCTGCTGAGCGGGGAGTCCTACGCAGGCTCAGTGGGACCCTGGCATCATGACCTGAACGGAAATCAGATGCTTAACTGACTGAGCCACTCAGGCGCCCAAACCAATACATTTTTTAAACTCAGTTACTGGGGGCAGAAGGGGGTGTGGCACCTGGCTGGCTCAGTCAGTAGAGCATGAGACTCTTGATCTCGGGATCCTGAGTTGTTCAAGCCCCACGTTGGACAGAGCTTACTTAAAAAAAAAAAAAAAAAAACCTCAATTACTGAGGATGATCAAAGTCGTCATTTCAAGCAATTTCATTTAAGTTTCAACAGAACCAAAGGAGCACTTTCCAGTTCAGTATTTACCAAGTACTCCTATTAATTTATACCCCACTGGCAAGCCAGGATTGACAGTTATACAGATAAAGGGGAAAATGCTTAAAATGAAGTGGGAAGAACTTAGGGTAGACATAAAGAAGAGGGTCGGACATCTCCTTATAGCTAACAAAATTCTATAAATATAGTAGAATTGAATGTGCTATTCATGAATCCTAATACATTAGTGTAGTAATTTTTACCTTGTAAAACATTTCCAAATGCTGGGAGATATTGCAAGAAGTAGTATAGAACACTCTAGCACAATCCATAGCTGATTCTCTTGGGTTTTTCCTCCTTTTTTCTCCTAGGTTTGTCATACTATTCACGGATGACCTGGGCCATATTTCCCAGTGGAGCTCCATCATGGCTGGGAGTCTTGCAGGCATGGTTTCCACCATTGTGACATACCCTACAGACCTCATCAAAACCCGGTTGATTGTGCAGAACCTGCTGGAACCATCTTACAGAGGGATCCTCCATGCTTTTTCTACCATTTATCAACAGGAAGGGTTCTTAGCCCTGTATCGAGGGGTTTCCCTTACTGTTCTAGGTAAGATGGAACTTTTCACCTTGTCCAAGGAAAGGTGGTGTTCTTTGATATAGATGAAGGTTGTATACCTTTGTTTGTAACCAGTTAATTGAGGTTTTTTGAGGTCAAGGTCCTATGGATTCAATCCATGTAGAGCCAATTAGCTTCATTCTATTCCATAGCCATATACCCCACTCTTAACTTTGGCCTGTCACATCCCAGGGAGGGGAGGAAGAGAGAGGGAAGGTGGCTCAGCTGAAACTGATAGGAGGAAGATAATCCCACACACCCCATCTGACTGTGGGAAGGAGACTGAGCATGCATACACACATGTGTGAGCATAACCAGGGTCGCAACTGTAGCTTCCGTGGTCTCTGGAACCTTTGCCAGGGCTATACATGCACGAGTCACCAGAGTCCCCCCAGCTGCCAAACCCGGCAGACTCTCACCCGATATCGGACATTTGTTGCAGCATTTACTAAGACTGACCACCCCTTCTTCTGGAAATCTGGCTTCTAGGACCCCACCAACTCCTGGATGTCTTTCCCAGCTCTCTGGCAGCTCTGTCTTATCTGGCTCATCTGATGCTGCTAGGCCCCCCCCCACGTGTCACTGTTCCCCCGGGGCTCCTTCCTTGGCTTTCTTTTCACCTCTATCCCCTCCCCAGGTGGCCTCAGTTAAGCTCGTGGCTTAACCAAGCATCATGATACTCTAAGGACTCCCGACGTCAACTCTGTAACAACAGTGACTAACATTTATTGGTGGCTCGCTCTGTGCCCGGCACTGTGCTGTTGAAACTCACATACGGTTTCTCACTTAAGCCTCAGCTTACAGACAAGGAAATAGATGCTTAGGGAAATGGAGAGGCTTGCCCGAGATCACATAGGGAGAAAGTGGAAGAACCTAGCGATGTGACCCCAGAGCCCTCTGTCTTAACCACTGACTGCTACCAATTCCCAATGGCAGGATGAATACCTGCTATTGGACACCTTCACCTGCTGCTCCCTGGGCGCATCCAGCTCAAGATTAAACCTGATGTCCTCGTTAGGCTCACACCTGCTCCTCCTGGGTTCCCTAAAGGATGCGACCGCCTGCCTTTCACCCAGTGGCCCAAGCTGGAAGAAACCTAGAACCGCTTCAGCTCCTCTCCTCTCTCCGCTGTGGCTTCCGTCACCAAGTACTGTCAGTTTGACCTCTCCACTGTCAGTCTGTCGCCCTCCATCTCCACCTCCTCTGCCCTCATCCTCATCCTTCCCGCAGACGCTTACGAGAGGTTCCCACCGGGTCCCAGTCCCAGGCACTGCTGCCAGGGCCTGGGGACCCTCCGAAACTCAAGTCGGTCATTTCACCACCCCTCATTCCAGTGTCCTCCATTCCAGCCCTCCCTGACTCCTGAGCTACAGGGAAAGGCCCAAATTCTTTATGGCACACCATCAGATCCTTCAGACCTGGCCGCGGCCGACCCGTCCCACCTCACCTCCTGCCGTCCCTCTGCCGGCACTCATGCTCCAGCCATCCAGAAACACTTGCAATTTCCTGGAAACACCAGTCCCTTTGTACCTGCTGTTCCCTCTGCCTGGACTGCCTGTCCGCTCTCCCGGTGTCTGACGAACTCCTACTCAATCCTCAAGGCCCAGTGGGAACGTTCTCTCTTCTGTGAAGTCCTTCCTGATTCCCCTAGGCAAAATTAATCCCTCTGGTCCTCGTGTGCTTAAAGCACTTTGTATTGCCCACCCCCCCCCGCCCAGTTCTGGCACATATCAGCTGCCTGTCTCCTCCAGGAATTAGCCTACACCTCTTTATATTCCCAGCACCCAGCATAGGGCCCAGCACATCACGTAAACTCCACAAATATTTTCCGAATGAAGGTAAATGGTGGGGGCTGGTACTTCATTTGTAATGTGTTTTTTTCTTCTTTTTTTTTTAAAGATTTTATTTCTTTATTTGAGAGAGAAAGGGAAAGACAGCACATGCAAAGTGGGAGGGGTAGAGGCAGAGGGAGAAGCAGACTCTCCGCTGAGCAGAGAGCCCAACGTGGGGCTCCATCCCAGCACCCTAGGGTCATGACCTGAGCTGAGGGCAGACACTTAACCGACAGAGCCACCCAGGCGCCCTGTAATGTGTTTATTAAATAGATATTACATTTTCCTAAAGACAAGCAACCCCACTGATGCTAGCCCCTCTTTTAAATCTTATTTTGAGGGAGAAATTTAGCCCCTCTGTAAACTTAAGATAGCTCCCAAAGTTTCTGGAAGTTTCTTGAAAGGGCCACCAAAGCACACCTGCTTGCCATCTTTTCCTGGGCCCTGATACTGCCACATCATTCCCCAAAGCAAGGTCAAGTGCCCTCCTTCACCAGTACAGTCTTGCTTTCTAGTTCGCACAGAATGTCTCCTTCTCAGCCAGAGACCAGTCCCTCCCAGCCTCCGAAACCTGACAAAGTGCCACTCGCTGACTTTCCTCTGTGGGAGTGATTTTTTTTCCCAAGATTTTTTTTTTTTAATCTTTTTTTTTTTATTTGACAGAGAGAGACACAGCGAGAGAGGGAACACAAGCAGGGGGAGTGGGAGAGGGAGAAGCAGGCTTCCCGCCGAGCAGGGAGCCCGATGTGGGGCTTGATCCCAGGACCCCGGGATCATGACCTGGGCCGAAGGCAGACGCTTAATGACTGAGCCACCCAGGCGCCCCCCCGCCAAGATTTTATTTTTTAAAAAATTTCTAACACGCAGAAAAGTTACAAGAATCGGAAACACCCGTATGCACACCATCCGGATGCTCCAGTTAACACGTGGCTTTATCATGTATGTGTCCATCCCTCCGGCCATTCATCAGTCCATCTTACACATTTCTGGATGACTTCCATGTAATTTGCAAACATCAATGCTCTTCACCCCTCGGCCATTCAACATGTGTCTCATGAACAAGAGTTCAATATTTGTTTGCAGTTCTTTGTAAGGTAAAATTTGCATACAGCAAAGTGCGCCAACCTTGAGTGAACCGTTTGATGCATTTTGACAAATAACACACCCCCTATCAAAATGGAGCACATTGTCATCACCGAAGAAAAGTTGCTTCGGGCGGCTCTGGCTGGCCTGCCTGTCAGGAGCTCGGAGCCAGTCCTGTTTACTTCACCCGGATTCCCCACAGGCATTTACCTTCTCGAGCCAGTAGCGCCCGAGACATCAGCAGCCTCTGTCTGGCCTTCTTTTTGCAGGTGCTCTCCCCTTCTCCGCTGGCTCCCTTCTAGTTTACATGAACCTGGAGAAACTCTGGAATGGACCCCGAGATCGGTTCTCTCCCCTCCAGAACTTCGCCAATGTCTGCCTGGCCGCTGCCGTAACCCAGACGCTCTCCTTTCCTTTCGACACGGTGAAGAGAAAAATGCAGGTGAGGAGCTCTTTGGGGGAATGGGGTGGGGAGGACATCAGGTAGGAGGAGTGCCTTGCTGTGCTTGCGGGCAGTAGCGACTGCAAAGAACAGTGACTCTGAGTGATGCCAGGTTTCCAGGGAGCTCACGAAGGCTCACACAAAAACGATGCCACCCCCCCCCCACACACACACACAGACACACGGACACACACTCCATTGGCATTTCTGCTGCTAAACTCGGGGCTGCTGGCTCGAGCCCAAGCAGCCTCCCTGTTCCCATACTCTCTCTTTTAGGTCTTTGATGAAGTCTCCAGATGAAGCCCACTTTTCTTTCCTCTCTTCCTTAAAGCTGTCTCAGTGAGAGAGACTGGAAAGAACCAAAGTTGGCCAGGAACTACCGATCATAATTCAGTTGAATCCCATTTTAAATGATCAGTCCCAGCTGAGTCTGTTTGCTGTCTCTAACTCGTCCCTCTGCTGCCTCGGTTACCCCTGGCTTCTCCTTGCGGCTTTCTTGGCTAGGCTTGGGCCTCACCTTCCTCAGCACTAAAAAGTCCGAAAGGACCCATCTCAACCTATAAAGAAAAACTGCCTTCAGAATAATACACATCACAATGACCCCCCAGTTCTGCTGCCCCCATCCATCAGACTTCATCTGTCTGGGTTGTGTTCGTTTCCTGTCTTTTGTCCAAACAAATAAATGATGGTCACATTATTGTAATTATAATGTAGGTGTAAGTTTAGCACCTGCTTAGTGCGCACCTATTCACAAAAACTATTATTCCTAATTTTTTTTTAAAGGTTTTATTTATTTGAAAGAGAGAGATAGCAAGAGAGTGCATGAGTTGGGGGGAGGGGCAGAGGGAGAGGGAGAAGCAGGCTCCCCGCTGAGCAGAGAGCCCCATGCAGGGCTCCATCCCAGGACCTTGGGTTCATGACCTGAGCCATACGTAGGCAGCTGCTTAACCAACTGAGCCACCCAGGTGCCCCCATTATTCCTAATTTTAAAAGTAATGTACATGTCATACCCTTAAAATGGTCAATTTTATGTTATGTATGTTTTTACCACAATCACTTCTCGGCCTTTTGGCTAAGATCAAGTGTAGTATGAATGTTTTTCCACAATAAAAAAAAGTGATGTACATAGACTATAGAATATTTGGGACACACAGAAAAGTATAAAAAAGAAAATAATTACTTATAAACCCAACACCTATGCACTATGATTAATGGTTTTTCTGCATGTTTGAATGTGTGTGCATGTATATATATGTGTGTGTGCATAAATATATATGATACATGTATATGGAAGGGTTTTTTTTTTAAAGATTTTATTTATTTGACAGAGACAGTGAGAGAGAGGGAACACAAGCAGGGAGAGTGGGAGAGGGAGAAGCAGGCTTCCCGCAGAGTAGGGAGCCCGATGCGGGGCTCCATCCCAGGACCCTGGGACCATGACCTGAGCCAAAGACAGACGACTAACAACGGAGCCACCCAGGCACCCCGAGAATACCTCTTTAAATTTTCACGTACTATTCCACCATATAGGGACGCCTGGTTGGCTCAGTCGGTTAAGCGTCTGCCTTCGGCTCAGGTCATGATCTCGGGGTCCTGGGATCAAGCCCCGCATCAGGCTCCCTGCTCAGCGGGGAGCCTGCTTCTCCCTCTGCCCGCCACTCTCCCTGCTTGTGCTGTCTCCCTCTCTCTCTCTCTGACAAATAAATAAATAAAATCTTAAAAAAATATATTCCACCATATTGGATGTCCCATAGATATTTTTTTAAAACAAAGATTTATTCTCGCAAAGTTCTGCTGGCTTGAATTTTAATATCAAGGTGTTGGCAGGGCCGGGACCCATTTGACGTTTGTAGGGGAGGATCCTTCCTTGTCTCTTCTAGCTTCTCGTTGCCCTAAGCATCCCTTGGTTTGTGGCTGCAGAACTTCAATCTCTGCCTCCACTGTGCATTCAATAACAGTTTCTCAGTTTTTAAATACTTAGGCTATTTCTAATTCTTCAGTATGAGAATATTGCAGTGAAAACCCTTGTATTTTTTTCACATCTGTGATGGCCCCCTTCAGCTATATTCCTACAAATCGACTTACGGGTCACAAGATAAAAATAATTCTGGGACACCTGGGTGACTCAGTTAAGCATCTGACTTTTTCTTTTTAAGATTTTATTTATTTATTTATTTGAGAGAGAGAGAGAGCACAAGAGGGGGGAGGGTCAGAGGGAGAAGCCGACTCTCTGCTGAGCGGGAAGCCTGATGTGGGGCTTGATCCTGGAACTCCAGGATCATGACCTGAGCCAAAGGCAGACGCTTAACCGACTGAGCCACCCAGGCACCCCAAGCATCTGACTCTTGATCTTAGCTCAGGTCCTGATCTCAGGGTCATGAGTTCGCCCAGTGTGGAACCTACTTAAAATAAATTTTAAAATAAAATTTAAAAAAGATAAAAATAATTCTGAGGCTCTTAATGAACTTTGCACTCCAGAAAGGTTGTAAGTTTACACTTGCACCAGCTGTGAGTGAGTGGTTCATCTCCTCAACAATCATCAGCAGTGATTACTATCACTTTTCAATTTTTTTTTTTTTAACCACAACACTCTACTATAAACCGGGGTAAGATACACTAGAAGTGGGTATTTGGAAGTAAACTTGATCATCTTTTCCCTGGTATGGAAACCTTCTCGTAATAGATACACAGAGCTTCAACAAGATGCTTTAAAATAAATGCAAAGTCATGGTGGTTATAAAAAAAAAAATCCCAAAGAGGTAATTGCATGGTTTTCATAAAATATGATCAGCATCCAATTATGAATAACATCACAAATACCATCCAAAGATGTAGGAAGTGAATTCTTAGGGTTGCGGCCAAAGTGTTATTTTACAGGCGTTAATAAACATCATAATACCTCGTCCACCCTATTTAAAAAAAAAAAAACTCTCTAGAACCGCAGGCTGCTTTTCAAAGAGAACGTGCAGTACTTCCTCTGGCCATTAGATGTCGCTGCAGTAAATGGAGCGTTTCTGAGCCCTCTGAGGGGCTAAGCCTGGCGGCCAGTGATCTCTGTCCAGTCAACATCCTCCTTAATCCCTGCTTGAAATACACCTTCAGTTTAGAGGACAAGGAGCCCGGAAACAGCAGGCTAACCCTAAATTCTGCTGTGGGTTTTTTTTTTTTCCTGCAAAGCACACAATCCAGCTTCTCCGAGAGAGCTTTAGTAGCCGTCTCCCCTCAATGGGAGCCGGCAAGGTTTGCCAGCAGAATTTATAACGAGGGAACTTTGCAGGGCAGCCAGGCTGCTCAGAACTGAGCACACTTAATGGTAATATTTGCATTCCCCTGGCTTTCCTCCTTGCGCTGCCCATCAGGAAGCAAATCAATGTCAGGTGTCTGTTAGATAACCAGCTAGACGGGGAATCTTCCCAGCTCTCGCACCGACTGGCCACTTTGTCTGAATGTCTCATTCTCCTAATACGCTTTTATCCAGACACACACACACACACAGTCTGCCCATTTAACGCCACATCAGGTTGTGACTCAAACATTAATGACAATAATCAGAAGTCTTGTTTAACTAGCTGAGCCCTTCCTTCACCATGCTTCCACTCATTTTATTCCTTTCTCTTTTTCTTGCCCTGGTTCCTGGCTGGCATGCTAGAGAATGGAGAGGGAAATAAATTATGTATGTGCGTGTTTTGATGCAACGGTTTCTGGAGGGAAAGGGGTGCGGGTGGATCAGCCCTGTGCACAAATGGAATGAGGTGCCCCCCCACACACACAGCTGGTGTGCTTTCTCGGACCCCGCTTTCACCGCGCTTCAGTGCCTCGTGGCTCAAGCTCTTTCAGGTATGGCCTGGGCTGTTCATCTTCATTATCTCCCACGCCTGGCCCAGAGCGTGGGCCTGAAATGGCGGCAGCGCTTAGTGTATTGAGAGCACCGGCGGGAAGGGTGAAATATTGATGGAGGTTAATTTGTCTGATTAATCTGCGGGCCCCAACTAAGGACCAGGGAGTCCTGAGCAAAAGGTTCTCTGGACAGGTGCATGTGGAAGAGAGAGGGAGGAAAGCTGCTTTGAAACTCCAGGGAGCAGCCGAGAATGTGGGAGCCGTGGAGCCCCCGGTGGGCCCTCGGAGAGGATCAGGTGGGAAGCACCAGGCAGAAGCTTGGTGTCCCTGCCCCCACCCACACCCCGCAACTCTGGCACCCTCCCCTGTGGCCCATGTTAGGTGTCTCCATTTCATCAAATATAAAACCAAGTGTCCACCTGTTGCTCGCTACCCCAGGGGACTTTGACCCCATCAAGACTCACAAGGCAAAGCAGGATTGGGCCAGGTCAGCATTTGAACTGAAAGTACATAAACTGAAGGACAAAGGTAGTATCCAAGGGGCACAGCTGACCGAGCAGAATACACACAGTCCCTGAGCGAAGAGAGGCCCCAGCCCTGTTCAAACAGAGATGCTTAACACCTCAGGCTGCCCTCGCCAGACTGGGCATCCTCCTGGTTTCTCATGCTCAACTCCACATCCTCAGCCCCGACCCAACACTTCTCACTGCCTGCTGCGCGGCACCATCTTGGCGAGCACCTCTACGCTGTCTCCTCTGACTTAAGGTGTATCAAACTGACCTCTCCTTCCCCTGAAATTTGCTGCCCAGAGTTTTCGTTTCAGTACCATCGCCCCACCACCCAGTCACCCAGGCTGGAAGGCCAGAATTTTTTTTTTTTAAAGATTTTATTTATTTATTTGAGAGAGAGACTGAGACAGAGAGAGCACGAGATGGGGGAGGGTCAGAGGGAGAAGCAGACCCCCTGCCGAGCAGGGAGCCTGATGCGGGACTCCATCCAGGGACTCCAGGATCATGACCTGAGCTGAAGGCAGTCGCTTAACCAACTGAGCCACCCAGGCGCCCCCAGAATTTATCTTTGACTCTTCCTCTTGCCCCTCCCCCAGGCAACCTTGAGCCCAGTTGGTTCTTGGTGCCTACTCCTCCCACACTGGTCTTTCTTTG